TTGTATTTATATATGCATAATAAATATACACAGTGTACACATATATTATGTAAACAAAAACTTTTATTTTGGATGCGATTAATCGTTTGACAGCACTAGTTTCAACTAATATTTTAATCAACAAAATGATTTTTTTATAGTGTTAGTTAACTGTAATAACTCTGGCTGTTAACCCTGGTCCCTCTCTCTCTCTCTCTCTCTCGGTCTGTCAGGTGACTATGAGAAAGGCGTGGATCATCTGACGAATGCGATCGCCGTGTGCGGTCAGCCGCAGCAGCTCCTGCAGGTCCTGCAGCAAACGCTTCCTCCTCCAGTCTTCCAGATGCTCCTCACCAAACTGCCCACCATCAGCCAGGTGACACGCGTTTGAAACAGAATTAAAATATGCAATATGCGCATGGGTCAAAGACGAAAAAGGGTTTAAGCATGAAAACAATAAGTGTAATACTGCTTTAAATTTTTGTTGTCTATTAAAGTTTTCTGTTTAATTTAATTGCAATTCTGTTTTTGTTTTTCCGAGCAAGAAATAAATATCATACATTTCCCCCTGATTTACAGAAGACAGCCTCTAAAATGTCATTCCGTGTAACATTCTTGTGAGGCATATTTACAACAAAAATCAATTTATGACATATTAAAAGACGAATTACTTTCACCCCAAATACTAATTAGTTGTAATTTGACATTTTTTAAAAAATGTGCCACTATCCTAGATTTTGCCCATTTGTCAGTAAGAATTTTTTACTCCTTTAAAACACAATAAAATGTAATATTCTCCCTTATTCTTTATTATATTTTAATATGTACACGTCAGAATAAGCATGTTGTTTGAATTTTTACATAAATATTGTGTTACACTGAATGACATTATTTCAACCAAATTTTAACATTTTATTCTCCAAAACTGTATGTGAAACCTTAAAAGCAGACACTTGCATTTAATGTGCTTTCTATGGACATACGATCACTTTTGTCAATTTCTTTTGATGCGGACATCTTAACGTCTTTGACCCGCATATATTATCTGCTTCATATTCATGAGCAGTGCTGGGGAAAGTAACTTTTAAAAGTAATGCGTTACAATATTGCGTTACTCCCTAAAAAAGTAACTAATTACGTTACTTAGTTGCTTTTTATGGAATGCAATGCATTGTTACTTTTGAGTGACTTTTTATATCTCTGCAGGGCTTGCTTGTTTGTTTTTAATATAAAAAAGTTATAAATGTAAAAGCCAAACAAACAAAAGTGAAATGAATACAGCCTCAGGCTGAAGGAAATGTAAATGCACGTCTGTACAGTAGAGGGCGCAGCTCAAACTAATCTCATGAAGAATACGACGCAGGAGAAGAAAGTTCAACACTATTAAACAATAACAAAAATGAAACAGATGTCATTTTTGCTTATTAGTATGGTTGAATTGGATCATCGAAGGTCTAAATACATAAATGATATTTGTCTCATTTAACACATTTAATTATTGCAGGTTTGTATAATATTCTGAGTTCGCATTTGACCGTTTGTATTCATTTTGAGGAGCACTGAATGTGTTTGTGTGCAGTGAGATGAGTAAACACATGTTGATATTTAGTCTAGAGCTACAGTAAGATCATGTTCACACACAGCGCTCTGCACTGACTCCTGATTTCTGTCACCATGCCAACACCAGAGCTGTCACTCAACACATGGAAACAAAGTAACTCCGATATTTCCTTACTCGTTACTTTAAAAAAGTAATCCGATTACGTAACTCGCATTACTTGTAATGCACTACCCCCAACACTGTTCATAAGACAAATACATGTTTTTATTATTATTTAAATGTCTTCTAAATTCCCAAATGCTAATCTAATGCTCCTCTCTTTTTCGTTGCAGCGCATCGTCAGCGCTCAGAGTGTCGGCGACGACGACGACATCGAGTAGACCTCCAGCAGCTCTGTGACATCACTTCCTGTCTGCTTCGAAATCAATCAATCAATCGCTCTGTCCCGCCCCCTTTCCATCCAGTTCTCAAACACTGAATGCACAGATACGGATTTAAAGAAGAGTCATAGTTTGGTTTTGAATCTGAGCTTCTGAGTTTGTCCTGTTGACGTGTGTTAGAATGACAGAAAACAAGCATGACCTGCAGCAATTATTTGTTTTACTAACAAAGCATTTTGGGTTCACTAAATTATGAAATATGCACGCGGGAAATCATCGACTAATGACTCACCAGAGTACATGCTGCTGTCGTTTATCTGTGTTCATGTATTTAAGCTGTTTTTAAAGGCTGTGAGACGTCTAATGGGGTATTGCGGGATAGGACGCACATTTAAAGGTGCTCTGTTTCAAGTCGGGGAGAGTTTCCTCTTTATTTTTTAACTCCAAAATAAAATCATTGTATGGAGTCAATGTGTCAGAGTCATTCATGTGTCTCCATTAATAACGTGCGATACACAGTTGCAAATTTAAAGCAACAGAACATCAAAATTATTCATTTGCTCTCATGTTGTTCAAACAGTCATATGATCAAGTTTCAGGGGATTAACAATAAATTAATTAGGTATCATGAACTAACATTGCAGACAGCATTTATTAAATCTAACATGATATTGATAATTAAATATTCGATTCATTAATTTATGGTTTTACATAATACACTAATATTAATGCAACAATGTTAAACATGTAGAAATGATAATTACCTTTGATTAATTAATGCTTGTTCATGATATCTAATGCAATGATTCTTGTTAACATTACAAACATGAAGTGAAAGTTAAAAATGGAAGCTACACGTGTAACTTTTTTTGTTCAAAATATAATGCGAATACAGCATAAATCCATAAAACTTAGTTTTTGCGTTACGCTAAATTACTAAGCCTACAATAATTATTGATATTTTACAGATTTCCCGGGAAACTGCATACTTCCGGCATCATCACGTGCGCGTTCGCTTCATTTAAATACAGGAAAGAAGTTCAGGCTACTAACAAATGAACCTCGAAAGCGTTTGCTAACAAAACAAAAGCGACACGCTCATAATAAAACACGAAGCAACAGTTTCAAATAATCACATTTATGCCGATCTCTAAACCAGTTACTGCTTTGGTCTATTAGCCTAGCCAAACTTTTGTAACTATTTTAAAACAATTAATTTCAACAAGTCAAAACAACAGCGTCATGTAAGCTCCTACCTGACATTATTTGCAGTTATCAGTCTTCCTTTCGTTTCGATGTCATTAGTTTGATTTGTGCTGAAAAATGATTATGTGATCTTGATCAGCGCGGAGCCGAAGCGCAACCCACGTGACGACCAAAACAATCTTCCTCCGCCAGTTACTTGTAGTTTTACGCTTCAACCGATAGAGGAACAAATGGAAATTAAAAGATCTTATGGGTCGTTAAAAAAGATGGAAACATAAGTGTTTAGTCACATTTTTACTTGTGACATAAGAACACCAAACTTGTAAAAAGTACAAGTATTAAATATGAACATTTGGTTTCTTATTCTTGTGCTTAAATTTCTTTTTCAGTCCTTTGCCTCTTTTGGCAGTAGGATCCGCCATCTCGCCTTTGAACGATGAAGCTGGTGTTTGTTTCTTGCCAGGATTTGTCTTGAAGTTCTTGCCTCCCGTCTTATTTCTGATTTCTTGCTTTGACCCTTTGAATCTTGAAGGTCGGCCTGGAGGGGTTTTCTTTTCTTTTTCCTTCTTCACGGATCGTTTGACCCTGATGTTTCGATCTAGTAATTTGGAGCCGTCGAGTTTCAGTGCCAGCATCACCGAATCTGGGCTCTGGAACAGAAGGAAAGATTTCAGTGAGTTTTACCACATTTGCACACTTTATTAAATACTATTTATGGCATTAAACATGAATTGGAATTTTGAAATAAAATGGAACTTTACTTCCAGAACTGCTCTATTAACCCTGTAGAGCCTGACATGTAAAATTAGATTTTATTTTTTTTAATTGAACAATTCTTTTTAACCTTTACACTATAGAAAACAATTACCAAAAAAGTTTGCATTTGTGTTTCTGTTGAGTATCATCGAGAAGCGTTTGTACACGTACACTAAAAGAGCTTTTACTGGATAAAACACTCTAAACTATCAATCAGAGACAGAAGACAATCTGAGGAGATTGAGTATGAAGTAAGGGATAATGTCTTTCATTGTAACACGCGGTGGTTAAGTGTTTTCAGTCACAAGATGGAGCCAGACAGTCAACGATAGCGGAGTGACTTGTTAAGCATATAAGTAGTACGGGTCAAGATAACTGGTAGTACCCGGATGAGCGGTGTGTTATTCAATTTGGCGGTTGTTATCTGGGAATAACATACCGCTGGATGGCGCGATTGACCAATCAGAATCAAGTATTCCACAGAGCCGTGTAATAAACAGGTTTAACAGCAAAGTTTTTGATGGTGATGATGATAATATATATATAAATGTGAGCCTGGAGCACAAAAGCAGTGTTAAGTCGCTGGGGGATATTTGTAGCAATAGCCAACAATA